ATACCTCCGCCCAGCAGCTCTGCAGAGCGCTATTCAGCCCGGACAAAGGACGGGGGCCCTGGATGGCCACTGTGCTGAAGCCCCCAGTGCTGGCCCTCCCCCAGGCTGCGGGTGTTAAAGTTCAGACTTTGGAGCAAAACACCCCTGCAAGGAGGGGAGGAAAAGGAAGGAAAGGATGCTTTCCATGCTGCCAGCTAGAGGTTTCTCTGTTTAGATATCTACGGTATTCAAACGCATCAGGGTTGGCCCGTTTTTGAACCATAAGAATGTGGTTCTGCTGTTCCCAGAGGAAAATCCTTTCTAGCTAATTAAACACTACCACATTTCTGTATAAGTCATGTCAGAAAACTTTTGAACTCACTTCAGAGCAAAAGGATAGTCTGAGACACAACATCCATGCTCAGATCCCCTGGCCTAACACCAACCTATGGACACAGAAGAGCCGTCACTCAGCCTTAGTTTCCCAACTTAGGGTTGTGCCAACAGCACAACAAGAGCAGCAGATGAGGACTGCACAGCTCATTTGATTTTCACCCATCTAGTGGTGAGAGCTACAGAGTCTGCTTAGCAAGGCAGGAAGATCAGTGTAGACAACGCATGGGCAGAACCTTGATGGACCTCCCCAGGACACCCGGCACAGTCAGCTCTGCTGGATCAGCAGCCACCAGCAGTGCCATCCCAGCAGCCTGGAGGAAGGGAGCAATTTGTTTAGTTGCAGAGCTTGGGGTGGGTGTTTTCTTTCCTCCCTTGGTCTTCCCGCAAGAGTGGTTGGACTCATCTCTTCTGTGTTTGAATAGTCACCCTGAGCTCCCAGTACAGCCAGCAAAGAGAAATGGGCATAACTCAGCTCATCCAAGGTCAGATGACCTGTCCCACCCATGTCCAGAGTGCCAGGGCTTGAACCCAGACGAAGATGAAGGGGCATTCATCACTCAAACCCAGTGAGCCCAGTTCAGCTCTGTGACCGTTCCAGCTCACCTTCAAAGAACTTCTGCATCCTGGTTTTCACAAGCTGCTTTGGTATGGGCACCAAAGCCCGTGACTACCTAGAGGACCCTCCCATAGAAAAGTTCAGACTAGCACACATCAGCTCACAGGATGAAAAAAGCGTTTCCCAGGATCAGGGAGAGCCAGGCGCTGCCAAGCACATGATGGACCTTGCCCTGCTCAGTTTTTTCCTGCTCGGTTTAGCTCCTCCAGTGCTGGGAGCCAGGCCGGAACGTCTGTGCCTGGGTTGAGGCACGAGGGCTCCGTGCCTACAGCTGGCAGCAACAAATATGCACCGGCTCTGTGCCAGGAGCCGGCAAGCATCTGATGTCCCATACAGGCTCTCCTGACACCAGCCCTGGTGGCACTTCCAGATGACAATGTTTTCTGGGTCTTTGATAAAGCCCTTCTCATCTATAGATCATGCTTCACTTCCGAGCATCTCTTTCTAAACCACGGTTTCTGCCACTTGCATCTCTCCTCCCTCTCTGCAGGGACAGAGGTGGTCAGGGCCGCTTGTTGTCACCCAGTCAGCAGCATGGAGAGGCCAAGGCCACCACTGCCAGTGAGTTGTGTCCCCCTTGGCTGTGGGTCTATCCCTGCAGCTGTATAAAGGGCAGCCACAGAAATTCTCCATGCAGGGTTACATGAAGCAATCATGGAGACCACGGATGGTCCCATGGGTAGGACCACATGGAAGACACCAACAGGCTTACTGAGGGCAGTAGTTCCCAACCCTATAGTGCCTCGTTCTCACAGAAGGGCCAAAAAATCATCCCCCAAACCAGCATTTACCATGAGTTGCAGAGGAATACGGGACAGGCTCAGCTTGGTAGCAGGTTGATAACTGGCAGGAGGGAGGGAAGGAAGAGGTCATAGCAGTAAAAAACTAAGATGGGGCTGGATAATCTGGGGGATGGAGAAGGTAAGAGGGTTGGTGTCATTCACCTGCATTTCTTGCAAGAACTGAGTTTTGCTCAATCAGAAATTCTTAAAAGTCTTGCACGGAAAGAGAGCACTTAGGAGTAAGCCACCATGACCCCACAGAACCTTTCTGACTGCTTTAAGGCATGAATCAATTAAAGCAATCATGGAGCAAAGGTTAATCAGTAGCAAGTACATCTTAAGAAATAAGTAGTCTTTTAAAAAGCAATTGCTCTTGCCAATTTCCACCCTCCCCCCTTTTCTAAAGTGTCTTTTATTTCTCCAACTCTGGAGACTTTCCAAAATAAGTTCAGTGATTAAGAGCAGCTGCCGAAGAATCATGGGGCGGCAGCCGGGGCGGTGGGAGCAGAGGACTAGACCTGTTACTGTCACAGAGGCTCCTTGCTGTACAAACATCTTGGGGACTGAAAACCTTCCAGGGGCTTCCAGCCTAATTAGAGCAGATGGAGGCTGGAGAAACAAGAAATTGCTCACAGTTGCATTGGAGAACAGAGGAAATGAAGTGGGAGAGTAAGGAAGGGACTGACTCCAAAGTATTTCTACACAAGCAATGAGACTCCAGGCTGTGTGTGCAGGCGTCCAGTCATGCTTTGAGCTGCTCCAGTGCTATGCCCTGCTTGCAGATATGTTCTTCCTTCTTTTTGCACCCAACAGTAGAGCTGACATCAAAACTGCCTCCATGGGCAGCAGCCACAACTTCATTCATACATGCACACATCCTTCCCCCCATCCAACTCTGCCCTATCTTCCTGCCTGCTGCTCTTATAGTGCACCACCATCATGGTTAACTCCTTGCCCTTGTCACCTTTCCATGAAAGCACTGACTAAAGAAAAGAGCTGGTGTGCTGTGATGGCCTCAAGAGCCTTCCCTTGGCACCAGATCTGCAGAGGACAAGTCCCAGGACAGGGTTCCTCATCTCTCTCTTGCTACTGCATCACATGCACTCACGCAGATTACAACTGCCTGACCACCAGAAAGGACCTGGGCCAGGAGGATGGAGAGTCTGTCCTGACCCTGAGAGCAGGTCCTCATCGTGCTTAGCACAGCATCTTCTCCAGGGACACCACAAAGACTTACAAGGCAAACAATGACAGGAGAATAGGACTCGTGGAGTTAGGTTTGGACTGAAGCCAGGCAATTGCTGCACACGTGCAAATGCACAAGGTTGCGGTCTGCAGGCAGCAACCATCATAAAAACCATCACCTCACGTAAAAACCACCGAGCTGGGACTTTACCACTGGGCAGGATCTGCTCCACGCTGCGAGGAGGCAGGAGCACACGTGTCTCAGCTGATGGGTGGTAATTTCTGAAGGCAGTTGCACACAACGAGAAATGTTTGCCTGAAGGAGGGTTTCTGGGCTCTCACACGGCAAGGAAATGAAGAGCATATTGTCAAATGGCCACAAACTTTTAAAAAAAATGCTTTCTCTTATGTTTTGGCTGATACTTTATCATGCTAAGCATGACTGTATGGTAACAACTTGCACAGAGGCATTTTGTAAGCTGCAGGTAGTCTCACAACAAGTTACCACCACCAAATTTAAAGAACTTCCTTTTCATCACCAGAAATGACACATAAAGCTCAAAACACACCATTCGATCACCTCCTCGGTCCAATGTCACAACAAAAGAAAGTCATAGGACTGGTCATGAAACCCAACTTTCTATTTCTCTGCAAAGATTGGAAATTTCCCTTGAAATCTTGCACACTTTTTAAACATTTCAATAGCAAAGTTGGAAAGGAAGTGACAACTCTGGCTCCCTTCACATTCAGAACATTTTTTTAATTAAAATCCAGCTGGTCCCATGGTACATTATGCTTTTATTTGTTTCTCTTTTTTTGGGGGGGTGGTGTATTTGGGTTTTGGTTGGTTGGTTGGGGTTTTTTTTGTTAAATGCAGCTTAAAAGCTTTGAGCAGCTGTAGGAAATTATTTCAGTTCTCTCTTGCCCTTCCACCTGGTATCACGTGCTGGAGGATAAGTCCTGAAAGATGCTATACTGTGAGATCAGGATTCCCAAAGAAAGTGTAGGAGTGAGGATGAGGTGATGTACGCCATGGGCTGGATCTCCAGCTAATCAAATTTTGCCCTATCCAGCCCAAAGTTGGCCTGGTGCTGATCCCTAGGTTCATATCAGCTGAGCGCCTGACCCTGAATT